TACGATACCTATTACAATAGATCAAGGTAGAAACAATAAGTTAGTACAAGTATACCCACAGGGGTCTGGCATTGTGGTGCAGTGAATTAAGCCACTGCTTGCACCTCAGACATCCAATATTTGAGTCCTAGTTCAAATCTCAACTGCTTTGCTTCCAATCTAGCACCCAATAATGTGCATGGAGAAGTATTGGAAGATGACACAGGTTCTTGGGCCTCTGCCAACCACATAGAGATCTGGGTGGAGTTCAAGTTCACAGCTTTGCCTGGCCAACCTCTTACTGTTGTGATCCTTTGAGGAGATAAATCAGCATATGGAAGATTCATTATCTCTCTTCTCTCCCAAATAGCAAAGAATATGAATGAGTGTGTAAACACATTTTAGAGTACATTCACTGTTTCTTTGATTCTTTTTCTACCCTACACTAACTCCTCCCAATGTTAGACAAACTTACACTATTATAATGACTCTGACTCATGAATTGTTAGGCCAAGATTGCATGCATGGACCAAAATGGTTGTTTGACTGTGAGAGCCTCCACCAAACACTAGGGTTGGCTTGTGTGGTGAAGAAACACCTTTACCAGGGTCTGGATGCTGCCCTCAGATGCTAGAAATTTCACCCCAGTCCCAGAACATTCTGCCTCATCCCTGTCTTAGCCTCTCTGGGGACTTAAGTCACCAGACAGTTCAACCATGTGACTCCCTATGGGGTCTTTGGAACATGTCCTGTCAATTCCCAGACTGTGTCCTATGTATCCTGAACCCTTATTCCATAATAAACCATGAGAATAATAACATTCAACCAGGCCTCGGCACATCCTTCTTGTCAGTGATACAAGCTGAGGCTGTGCACATGGATCACACCATGTTTAGCCAAGAGGTTTGAAGCAGGCCTGGTCTGGGTCTCATCACACTTAGGTCTGGTATTTGTGGAGAAGGTAGCCCTGTGTGGGACACTGCCTTCTAAATGCACATTTGATTACATTCATTTCAGGTCAGGACATGCTGGGGGCTGGACCCAGACTTTCCTGATCTGATTGACGTGTCTTCCCAAATAGTGTTAAGAAGCAGTTCCTGGTAGGTGAAAAATCACAGAGGGAAAAAGCCCTGGACCACACAGAAAACAGAAAATGGAGTCAATGCTGTCTGGAATCGGGACCTCAGCCTTGAAACAGCCTAAAAGAAAGAGGAGGCTGACCTTGTTGTCTGAATCACAGCAATGCCAGGTACAGCCAGTCACCAGGAACTCACTCAGAGTTCCAGGCCTGCATCACAGGGCAATGGCACAAACCCAGAGGATTCCAAGCAGGAAGGAGGTGATAGGAGAGAAAATAACCCAGGCATCTAACCTAAGGTCTTCCTGTCTGGCTCAGCGTAACTCCTCCACTATCCTCTGGCATCCTGTTTTCTTCCAACCAAGTACTAACCAGGCCTAACCCTGCTTAGCTCCCGAGAGCAGATGAGATCAGGTGCATTCAGGGTGGTATGGCCATAGACTCCCTGTTTCTAAAAACAGAAGCTCCCAAGTATATTGCCCCCTCTCTATCACTCTGCCTTTCAAAGAAATAAAATCAAACAGACTAACAATGGACTTTTAGAAGAAATCAGAGAAGAAAATCTGTATGGTCTCAGGATAGGGAAAGGTTATGGCGGGGGCAAGATAACACTAAATTAAATGAAAATTTATATTAATGTTAGCATGGATCTTTAGCAAAGGAAAATCAGAGAGAGAGAGAGAGAGAGGCAGAGTGAGATGGAGGAGAAGGAAGAGGAAGAGAAAGAGGAGATATATGTATCATACTCAATAACTTACATAAACCAACAGGGGAAAAAGAAAGAACACAATAGGAAAAAATAGAAAACAAACCCAAAGGAACTTGAAATATAGGCATAAAATTCTTTCCAATATGTGATGAGGTCGTCCATATCCTTAGTGAAAAGAAATGTGAACAAAATAGCCACCTAAAACCATCACATATTAAAAATATAAAATAGAAGCAAGGGGCCAGCGCTGTGGCACAGTGGGATAAAGCCCTGGCCTGAAGTGCTGGTATCCCATATGGGCACCAGTTCTAGTCCCGGCTGCTCCTCTTCTGATCCAGCTCTGTGCTGTGGCCTGGGAAAGCAGTAGAAAATGGCTAAAGTGCTTGGGCCCCTGCACCCATGTGGGAGACCTGGCTCCTGGCTTCAGATCAGCACAACTCCAGCCTAGGGAGTGAACCAGCAGGTGGAAGACCTCTCTCTCTCTCTCTCTTTCCTCTCTCTGTGTAACCCTTTCAGATAAATAAATCTTAAAAAAAAGAAAGGGAGTCAGAGGTTAGGGTGTCCGGGGGAGATGTTCAGGGCCAGGGCACACTGTGTTGGGTGTTTTCAACAAAAATCCTGACTACCAGAGTCAGAAGCAATTAATGAAGTTATAAAACAAATTCACCTACTTTCATCCAGAATCCTCAGAGAAACACAAGAAATGTCGCCTGTTACCACTCTCAGCAACTCTCCCTCAGATTGGAGAAAAGATTGCATTTAAGATTTTTGAACAAACATTTAATTACTCCCCTAATGTCTCTGACTAAAGGAAGGAAAAATATTAAGCCACAATCCAAAGACCCAGCAAGCAGATATAGAAATTCTTTCATCTTTACCTGCTTTGGAAGAACCTGGGGAATTTGATTTGGTTTCTCACAATGAAAATCGCACCAAGGTAGTGGAGTATGCTGTGATGCAGGGAAGGAAGACCACTGAATATGGAGAGAGTTGATTGATCCAGAGATGATTATTGAACCTGCAAAATAACACCTTGCATTCAGAACTTGCCAGAGTATGACCTCTCCACCTGTTCATCTATAAATGTCTTCTGGTTTATGAAAATGACTCTAACCTGAAATTTAAAAAAAAAATCTTAAGGATTTGAAAAATTTTTTTCACCAAAGAAACATATCTTTTAATTCCATTTATCCAAGTACTTTTTGAGGTATTCTTAGACAATTATATATAAGATTTACAAGAGAAAAAATAAACAATCCATGTTATTTTAATTAGCTAATTATGCAACAAGTTACAAAAAATGAGTAAAATCTAGTAGTTGAAAATGTCCTAGAGGAAATAAATAAAATTGGCAGAATAAGAAAATGGGAGAGTTACAATGAATATTACACAAGAAGATGGATCAATCCCTAAATACATACATAAATTTTGAAAGAATTTTTATTTTTGTTTGACAAGTATTGTAAATGCATATGCTGTACCATGTGATATGTACCATGTATGTTGTAATGTTCAGAAAAATGTAAATATATTTATCTCCTCAAAATTTATTATTCCTGTATGGTGAAAACATTCAGGATATTTTCTAATACCTTCTTGTTTCAAAAATATACAAAGTAGTATTGCACCCTACAGCCATGCAGTGTGAACTAGGACAACAGTGAGTCACTTTTACATTACTCTTTAAGACTATTCCCAGTAATTGAAATATTTTTACAGAATTCAGTTGGATGTCATTAAAAGCCATGTACATAAAATATAAAGATATAAAGAAAAGTAAATATTTTCTGTGTGAATCTCACCAATGGAAGAATGACCTTGGTGCTGTGTCTGGGTTTCAGGTGCTGGGTTGAGCAGCTTCCCAGGACAACTCCCTTCTTTCTCAGAGATCTGTATCAAATATGAGTATCAGGCACCAACTGATGTTCAAGCAGGTTATGATAGCCACACACCCACAGTCAGGTGCTGGGAGCAGCCCAGCCACGGGCTGGATGACCACTGACCTGGAGAGTCTTCAACTGAAGAGGATTCTCAGTCTACATAACCACCCTGCTTCTTATGCCTGTGCTCAGCTGAGGTTGGGCACTAGGAGTTTCTGTCCTAAAGGGAGTTTGAGGTGAACTTGCAGGGGAAGCTTTGCTGGGGTGGTCTTGTCTCTGGGATTCCCTGGGCCAGGACTGGGGATCTGCAGGTTGTGTCGCATCCTACAGCTGAGGGACAGGGAATGTCCGCTCTGCCAGACCTCCAGAGGGCCTTTAGTTGCTCCTGCATTGTACTACACATGGAAACAGACACATCAGAATAGAATAAACTGTGAAGTTAAGATGGCTTGCTGTTATTCTTTTTAGCATTGCCTTGGACTACTTTTTTTTAATTTTTAAATAATTGTTTGATATAATAACAAAATAATTTGACTTCATATGTCTACATGAGCATATACAAACACATATGAACACAAATATCCCTGTCTAACACATAGAAATCAAAACAGGCTCCATGGGGCCATTCTTGCTCTTCTGATTTGATGTTCTGAAGTGGGACCCCTGCTTTGTGGAACCTTTGTCCCACCCCCATTGCTTGCTCACTTCTGACAAAGTCATTATATCAGACTCGGGTGACACCCATGACTTCTCCATGAATCCACATTTCTTGGTGCTGCCAGGAACATGAGTAACATTTTCATAATACAGGAACTGACATGAGAATTACATAGTAATTTGTTTCTAATTACTAACCAGCTCATTCCTTCTTTTAGCACAGAAATTCAGGCTGCTAATTTACCCCACTCTGATACAATGGCTGCTTCAGAAATGTGCTTGCACTTGCAGAGGGATTAATGAATAAAGAACTCATATCCAGGAGGCAACATTTGGCCTGTTGGTTAAGATGCCAGAGATGATGGCTGCATCCCATATTGGAGTTAACAGGGTCCTATTCCCAGCTTTGCTAGTGACCCAAGATGCTTCTTAAAGCAGAGGATGGGAGATGCTGGAAGATGCTGGAGTTGGCTCTATTCATTGGGCTCTTGTGATCAATGAAAAACCTCAGCTAAGTGCCTGGCTCCAGCTTTGTCCCCATTTCTGGGCTTTTACAGGCATTTCAGGAGTGAACCAGAGGATGATGAACTCTCTTCCCGAATATCAAATAAATACCAAGTAACAAGGCTTGAATAGATAAACTTGAAACACACTGAGAAGAAACCACTGTGAATACACTTCAACTTCTACATATTTCCTAAGCCAAGAAATCTGTATTCCTTGTGTGAGCACAGCAGTGCCTGGGCACCCTGGAGTCATGGCTCATGAGAATGTAGGGGCTCACAACTGGAAAAATCCCAGCAATTACTTCAGAGGTGGTCACCAGCCACATACTAGGACTGCTTAAAACAGCCAAGCAAATGTGAAGGATGGAGGAGAGAGTGCTCAAGGACACAAAGGTGCTCACCAGGACGAGGATGCTGTGGGTGGCTCTGGACTCTGGGGAGGACCTGGAGGTAATATTTGTCCCATGGATGTATTGTACCTGCTGCTTGTGCCTGTACAGGATGAAAACCATGAAGCTGCTGGCCAAGAGCATGAGTGCCACAAAGACAGTATCTCTGAATAGCAACTGGGCAGCATACAGCAAGTCTAAGAATTTTGCATGACTCACAGAATAGCAGTAGCCATGATCAGTTTTCTTTGTGATGTTTTTGTCATTCCTGTTTCCAATCACATGCACAGGTACCAAGACATTCAGTATCAGATTCAGCATCCAGCAGAGGATAGTGGAGGGGCCAATGTACTTTTGTGCTTTTGCTTTGAGCTCTGCCCATCTGGGGTTCCTGGGACTGATGGTGATGGCCTGGATGATACTCAAGAGACAGGTGCTGCCAATGGACACATCCCTGCCCACTTTGTGCACATAGAATACAAGCTTGCACCCAATATCACCAAGGAAAGGCTTCATCCCCAAAGATGTCATGGTTTGGGGGACTCCTTTGGAAAGAATGACTAAGCAGTTGGCTACAGACAGGTGTTTGATAATCAAATCTGTGGGCTTAAACTTGCATCCTGTGAAGTAGAGATAGAGATAATGGCCAAGAAGTGAGACATTCCCCAGGATTCCAAAGACAGTTTGAAGTAAGAAGATCATCCATGTTGTCAAGTTTTTAATGGCCATCCCATCAGCTCCCAATGCCTGATTATTGTCTCTGAGCCTGAGATTCCTGTGGGGGAAATGATGAATGAGTTTATGTATTAATGGCAGCTGAATTCAACATTCTCTTTGTATATTTTTCTCCAGTAACATAGATTCACCCTTGGATTTCATTGATTAACATTTTTATTTATGTGCATGTTTCCAAAGAGTACCATGTGTAACATTAAGGCTCCTACAAAATATTTATTACAGGTATGTAGAGACACAGGTAGTAATTCCTGAATTTGTCATAAGTCAATGAGAAAAGAGCAGCATACCTTGCATTGGAAATCAAATGGCACTCAGGCAGCTACACACTACTGATTTGTCTAAATTTAAAGAAAAGCATGTAAATTCACCTGGTATACTCCAACAAATGTAGTGAGCTGTGTTCTTCAGGATGCATATATGTATACTTAGTTATTTTCTCACCTTGCCAATGCAATGTAGACTAGCAGCACTGGGTCTTAACAGTTTCATACAAGTTTACTTCCATACAAGATATTTATTGATAAGCAAACATCAATAATGATTAAACATTTAGGCATCTTTTTAAGATGCAGATAAATTGATTATCCTATAATTTTCTGGGGTCTTCTCTGTAACAAATCATGTTTTAGGAAGTCAAATTGTTTGATATAGGGAAGGCCATGGAAACATTACTGTGCTATTCTCTAGGAAGAGATGATCCACAAGGACTTATCCTATGCTCTGCCCTGTACACTGGGACAGGAGACATCATGTATCGTGTTTCATGTATGATAGAAACTATACATCCCTACAGTCATGTCCTACAATTATTTATTTATTAAAACATAAGTGAAAGCTATTCCATCAGGTGAGATTTCTGAAAGATTCTGGGTATAGAGCACATACACCTTATGGAATCTCAGAGGGTCAAATTCTGTGTGTTTTATCACTTAAAGTTGTACAGCTTGCAAATGGCATGAAAATATTTTCAATCCAGTGAAAATGTCAGAAGAGACACTTGAATGTGAAGCTCCTTCCTACAGTGAACACTACCTTTCATTAACCAAGCTTCCCTTACTTCAATGTGGAAAACAATCAGAACGTATTAAGGAACCATAGGTGTTTCCTAGGAAACAACCACTGGCTCCATTACACAGCTGGTACAGCAGAGTCCAAGGAAACCTTTCTGCCAGCAGTCGCCCCTGGGCTCATCGTTCACGCCCAGCTCTGGAGGACCTCGGTGGTTTGTCCTCATTACACCACAAGCATGTGAGTCTACAGCCCCTCTCTGGTAATTCTGAGAGTGGAGACTTTGGCTCCTGTGTAGTCTACTGAATAGCAGATTGATTTGAAAAAATAGTCCTGAAACACATTACACACCAGTTCTCATGACCGTGGACCAAACCCCAAAACCAATGTCATCATAGATGGCACCAAATCACATTAGGAGCCCCCAGGGGTTGGTGTGGGGTGGAGGACTGTACCACAGCAAATACATCTTTCTTTTCCTTTTCATATTTGTATGAACACAACAAGCCACTGAGCCTGTGCTGGCTGAAGTGCCTGTTCAGATGGATAACAAGGCTTGCTGAGAACTCAGAGTCTGGCCTTGAAGAGCCAGCTGCGGTAGCAATGGAATCTGGCCCTCCTCCTAGGTCAGCAAGGGCAAGGTTGGCATGGGCTCTAGACTGGCTGGGCTTGCTCCCCATTAACATTCACAGGCATCACTTAACACAGTGCTCAGGGTCTGTCAGATCTCAGCACAAAGAAGGCTTTGCACCTGCACAGTCCTGCAGAACACACACGTACATCCCTATGACAAAGTCAAGTCCTCAGGCTGGTTTCCCAAGGAACAGAGCTCATGTGCAAGACACCCTTGACATCAGACCAGCACCTGGCTCAGCAGCCACAGCTCCTTTCCCCCTCCACTACAACCCAGACCTCTGCACTTACTGGAGGGACTTCTGCTCTGCCCCCACCTCACCCCTGAGAGCTTACACTGTCTCTTTACCTTCAGATTCTGTCCTTGTGATGTTGATTTGGCATCAGGGAGAGCTAGGGAGCTTCCAGTAACAGGACTCCGTCTCCCTGTCCTAGCTCACACATCTCTGAATCCTTCCTCCCTCCTGTGAGGCTGGGGCACAGGACCAGGAGCAAGCACAGGAGAATCCCCATTCTCACCAGAACACTCACCCAGACTCCTGACTGCCTCCTCACATGAAGCCGCTCTTTCTCACTGATATAGCAAATCCCCTTTTTCTCTGATGCCAGGACATGCATCAGCATGAAGTCCACCACACTCATAAGGAGTGGGCTGGAGGCAGCTGGAGCCCTAGAAATGGTGTGTGCCTGTGATCTCACCTCCCTGCAGAGCAGCAATTATCTTTTTACCTGCAGCTGCATTGAAAGTGAAGTTGGGGTTGAGAACATTTGTGAAAATATTTTCCCTTCTGCTGATTACCAGAAACTTTTACAGCATTGAATTATTATCTCAAAGGAGACTATTAAACTCTTACACTGACTTTTCCTCTTCTCAGCTCCCTCGGGCAGAGTCTGACCTGAAGGGAGCAGGAGATCCTGAGTCTAACGTGGGAAGGATGAGAATTGAAACTCCTGTGTCTCCCAGGATTCATAGATTTCTGTCTACCCCACAGTGAGTTCCTCCCCAAACGTCAGAACACTCAGCTCAGCTTCATTCATGTAATGAGCAGAGCAGTGTGGAGAATGCTCCTGAGAAAGTTTTTAAAGACACAGGTGCAATGGTAAATGTGATGACCATAGTTTCCATTAGAACCCACTGTTCTTCGAATTAGTGTTGTGGATAGCTGGTAACAACCACTGCCTGCAGTGCTAGCATCCCATATTGACACCTGTTTATGTCCTCAATTGCTCCTATTCAGATGTCATTACCCTTCTAAGGGCCTGAGAATACTAGCAGAAGATGGCACAAGTGCTTGGTCCCCTGCAAACCACAATGGAGACCCCAGTGAAGCTCCTGGCTTTGACCTTGCCCATCCCAGCCATTGTTGTTATTTGGGATGTGAAGGTGCTGGGGGGAGATCTCTCCCTCTCTCTGTAACTGTGTCATTCAAAAAATACATAAATGTATAAAACAGAGGAGAAACCATTTTTCTATTCATAGTAATAAAAACATGATAAGAAATTAAAAGAAACAAAGGAAGGATGAGAGATGGAGGGAGTAGTATCTACAAAAAAGTATAAAGAAAAATGAACTTGTACAGCACCTTGCAGGAAATAAATCACTTAATAGCCACTGGGGAAAGAAAACACTGCCTTTTTCTGGTACTCCCTGAAAAATTCTTTGGAATTACAGAGGATTTAGGGATTTTATTCCAAAGGATTCTTTACAAGTTTGCACCTTTCTTTCTCATCTCCAGTGGACACTGAAGCTAAAGAGAATAATATCAGTGTATATGCAGAAGGTTATGAGCCCTCAGAAGTGAAACCATGGTGTAACAGGCAGATTCTCAAATTCCCTTAATTCCTAGGTAAACCATCTTACCTCCTCAATTCAAGAGAATTGAATGGTTACCATGGTTTTCTGGCCACACCCCTTTTTGCTTATTTCTTGTAGTCTTGATTGACTTTGTAATTAATGAGGAAATGCAACATGAGTTGCAATTTACTCTTTGAGGGGCAGTGCTGTGGCATAGTGGGTAAAGCCACCACCTGCTGTGCTGGCATCCCATATGGATGCCTGTTCAAGACCTAGCTGCTCCACTTCTGATCCAGCTCTCTACTATAGCCTGGGAAAGCAGTAAAAGATTGCCCATGTCCTTGGGTCCCTGCACCCATGTGGGGGACCTGGAAGAAGCTCCTGGCTCCACACTTCAAATCAGCACAACTCTGGCCAATGCAGCCAGTTGGGGAGTGAACCATTGATGGAAGTCTCTCTCTCTCTCTCTCTCTCTCTCTCTCTCTCTCTCTCTCTGCCTCTCCTTCTCTCTGTGTGTAAGTCTGACTTTCAAATAAATAAATAAATAAATCTTTAAAAAAGTAATTTATTCTTGAAATTCAAAACATAGCAATGTACTGTTTTCCCCAATCTGCTAATACACCTCAATTTCCAAGTCATACTTTAGAGTTGTGGTATTGGACAGCCCACACACTGTTGGTTGATACTCCGTGTTCAGTGATGGACAGCGTTGCCAGGATTCCCTGCTGGATTTCTCATATGGCTGAAGCCTTTTTCTGTACCAAAGCTAACATGATACAATCCCCAGATTTTGATATTTAATAAATAGTAACATGCGTTATATACAGAATAAAATGTAGCATTGCAGAATTTAAGATTGAGATTTTTTTCCTTATCATCAGTGTTATAAAAATAAAAGTGGTGCATTTTATGGATATTTTGAGAATTCAAAATACATTTTTTTCATGAAATAATTCACTAGTTTCATGACACTATGCATATTTTTCCTTGAGAGTTTATTTTTTAACCTATGAGTGGCAGAGTTACAGAGAGAGGGAGACACAGAGACAGACCTATATTCCATCTGCTGGTTCACTTCCCAAATGGACACAACATCCAGAGCTGGGCAAGACAGAAGACAGGAGCCAGGAACCCAATTCAGCAGCCCCACATGGATGCAGGGGCCTAAGGACTTGGTGTCTTCTGTTGTTTTCCCAGGCCATTAGCAGTGAGCTGGGCAGTAGTGGAGCAGTGGGGACCTGACCTGGCCCTGATAATCAATGCCAGAATCGCAGGCAGCTTTACCTGCGGTGCCACAAAACCAACCCTAGGAACATTTCACATGAAAAAAGCTTTTTAATTTATTAAATTTTTTCAATAGACACATTAAAATGGAGCATACATACAGAAAGCTGTACAGATAGAGGGATTATAACCTCACAGACCTGGAGAGAAACACACACCCATGAACACAAGGCCATAGTCATTGACATGAACATGTCCATGACTCCACAAGCTCAGTCCACCCTTGTGATTCATTATTATTTTAATTGAAGGACACTCAACACAGGCTCTA